TAGAAAGAGCTGCTCATGGATACATCACTAGTCATGAAACACTTTTGCTAGTTTCAATCAATGCCCTTTAATACATGTTGAAAAAAAAGGTTAAAAAAACAACTCTTTGGAAGTGGATTCTTACATGTTAAAAGCAAATTGACTTAGTATCATCTCAGTGTCTCTTGCTAATGTTACTTCCCAATTCCTCTGTCATCTGTTTTTTTATTTTTTGCAATCTAGGTTCACTCTGGAGTTACTTCATTATGATCTATTTCAATTACTCAATTGCCCTCGTTAAATCTTGTGTTCTCTGATTATTTCTGGGACACCCTCCTAGAAGCTCTGGGAATGTAGTGATGATGCCCAATGCCTTAATTTTCCATAGAAATTTTTAAAGAAATTTCAGAGAGGGGTTCTTTTCATTCCCATAGGTGTGGAATTGAAAAGTGTGTAGGGAACAGGGCAATGATGGCTTTAGGTGATTATTAATCTGTGTGCGGGGTGGCGCACACAAACCTTCTTCTGAAGCATCAGCTCCAGACAAGATAGGGATGCTAGGGTATAATCAGGGCAGTAGAAACTAATCAACTGGGAGGGCTTTCTACAGGTACCCCGGAGGGCTCTCTACAATTTTCTCCCATAAATCCTTAAGGTCTTACCTCACCTGGGCATGTTTAAGCATCATTTTCCCACATATATTGCCCCTCCATCTTGTCAGGAGGGTAGCTTTCCAGATTTATGTTTTAGAAATGGCAATCTTAGTCCTATAATCCATTAAAGGAAAACATCTGTGGTGATTTTCCCCACCCGCTTCTTGTCACTCAGATCCAAGCTTGACATGCCAAACCTTGCATCAATACAAAAAACACTTTCCCAGACTGCTTTGTCAGTACGTTTCCTATTAAGTTTTATTAATGAAGTACTAGGAGGAAAGGGAAAAAGGGACAGGTTTTTGTTTTGTTTTTCTGTTCCTGTCAGTGTTGCCCAAGGAGTGGCAATTGACTCCAGCTACCAAATTCTTCCATCTAGACTCACTAGGCCCTGCCAGAGTATCAGCATCTGGGAGGTGCTTCCTTTCAAAGGTCTGAACACCAGGTTTGCAGGGTCCACTCTCCCCCACTGCCCCAACCCTTGGAGCACAACAACGTGGGGAGAGGGAGGACCTGTGGAGGATGAAAAGAAGGGACAGGGGCACGGAGAAATGGAGGCAAGACAAAGTTCTGATCAAGCCTCAAACTTTATTTTTGGAATGGCAGTATATATACAGCAGGAACAAAGGGGGGCAGGGTTGCCTACGCAGAGGGGTCTTTGACAGTGTATAATTGGTTTAGACACTGAGTGACAAGGTGGTAAGGTATCTGGCAACACAGGATTGGCTAACTGCCAGGACTGTGTAACATTCCAAGGTATAACATTCCAGGGCCGGGCTAGCTATTGGGGAGGATCAGGAAGGGGAGTTGCAGAGATCCTCCGGAGCAAGACGTGCTAAGCGGCAGGTTAATCTTTAGCTTCCGGCCAAACCCGCAGGGCACCGCATAACTTCTGCTAGAAGGAACTTGATTCTAAGATGCTGTATTTTCTTATCGAGTTGCTTGTCTCAACTCTGATGGCTCCCAACACCCCACCTCCTGAGCTCTTCATTCTAGTAACCAAAACCCAGCCTTAGGGGTGGGCATTCATATCCTGCAGCTGTCACCTTTGGGTTTGGTGCTCCCTTATCTGTCTAACCAAGTCTTTGTAGTACTGCATACCCTCTGCCGAAACACCTATTGTTTTTAACTGGACCCCAATCAATGTACCCAGTAGAATCTGTATTTGTGTAGAACTGAGTAGGGAGTGGGGTTCTTATCCTGACTCTGGGGCTCAGCGTTAAATCTAATCTGCAGTGGAAAACAGACACCCCAAACTTTTTATGGTGATCACTAGCATAAAGCCTTGTGAACTGAACTAGCTCCAGGGAAAAAGCCTAATTGTGGTAGCCTTGGAGCACAAAAGCCACGTTGAAGAGAAATGTAAACTGTCAAGAGAAGGGTCCCCTCAGTTGAATTCAGGGCCCATGTTGCTACAAGTCCTGCCTTCTTACCTTGATGGGAAAACTAGCCTTGTGTTTGATGACCCTCAAAGCTCAAGTTTCATAAAATGGCCAAGATTCTGACATTTTCTTTGTCCACTATCAACAGCCCTGATTCTCATCCTCCATTCAGAATAGGTGCATGGTACCAGTAAAAAAGTGATTACAAACCAGTTCACCTCTCTTAAGTCTCCACTTTATAGAATCTTAACCTCTACCTTAGTTGTTTCAGTAGCTGATAGTTTTGACAATTTTACATTTTTTAAAATGTATTTTTTATTTCAGAGAGGAAGGGAGAGGGGGAGAGAGAAAGAAACATCAGTGATGAGTATCATCTATCGGCTGCCTCCTGCACACTCCCCACAGGGGACCGAGCCTGAAACCCAGGCACATACCCTTGATCAGAATCTAACCGAGATTCTTCAGTCTGCAGGCTGATACTCTATCCACTAAGCCAAACCAGCCAGGGCCAACTTTACATTTTTATGTGACTTTCCTCAGTGTTCTTAGCCATGCTACCTAGAAACCTAAGTTTTGCTTTTCAAGTAATTTTAAAATAGTACATTAAAGCTAAATAAATTCAAATTCACTCATTTGTGCTATTTCCAAAAATTACCAATGCTATTCTTTTTTTAATCCTCATCTAAGGATATGTTTTCATTAATTTGAGAAGAAAAGGGAGAGATGAAACATCAATATGAGAGAGAAACATCAATCAGTTGCCTCCCATACACGCCCCAAACAGATTGTTAGTTTCTAACAAAACCAACTATAGCCGTAACTGGTTTGGCTCAGTGGATAGAGCTTCGGCCTGCAGACTAAAAGGTCCCAGGTTCGATTCCAGTCAAGAGCATGTACCTTGGTTGAGGGCACATCCCAGTAGGAGGTATGCAAGAGGCAGCTGATTGATGATTCTCTCTCATCAATGTTTCTGACTCTCTATCCCTCTCTCTTCCTCTCTGTGAAAAATCAATAAAACATATTAAAAGAAAAAAAAGAAAAAAACCAATGTTAGTCAGGAAGACTTCTTCACAGACAAATAAGTGGCTAAATATATAAATCCTATGAACATCACAGTATCCCCCACCCCCTTTTTGGTCATGGAAGATTTAATTATTTAACTTTTCATTTGTGAAGATCCCTAAAATGTAAAGTGAAACCACTCTTCTAAGTATCAGGGTCAGGTGGAGGGGGAAAAGCAGGGGAAATGGAAGATGTCTATAATATTGTCAACAACAAAAAGACAAAAAGCCACTAGAGTGGCCCAATGGCCTAGTGTTAACCTATAAACCAGGGAGATGGTCAAAGTTCAATTCCCGGCCAGGGAACATGCTTGGGTGTCAGGCTCAGTCCCCAGTAGGAGGTGTGTAGGAAGCAACTGATCAATGATTCTCTCTCATCATTGATGTTTCTATTTCTCTCATTCTCCCTTCCTCTCTGAAATCAATGTCTATCTTTAAAGAAAGGCCGAAAACTACCAGTTTGATAATAAATTTTAGTATATTTTTGACAAATTTTATTAGTTTCTGACGACATTTCATTTCAGCACAATCATTACTCAGAAGGCAATCACTTTTTATTTTCTTAGAAAGGACAAAAGTAAATTTTAAATCAGCAACATGATTCTACCCCTAATTAATTAATATCGGAATAGATGGCATCAAGATTAACACAATTTCAGTTATAACATCTGGAGGAAAATTTTTTTTAAAATGTATAAAAATATTAACAAATTAAAGCTAGACTTTTGCTGTAAGACATTTTATTTTTATCTTAAATGGATGAATAACTAAGTATCATCAGAAATGCTATTAAAACTTGTCCACTGCTCAAAGTTGTTCATATTAATGAAACATAGGTTAACATTCTTTAAGTTAACTTCCACAAAATGGAATCACAGCCTCTGATTTAACTTTGAGAGGGCCAACCCAAGTACCACACTATTTCTGCCCATAAACACAGATAAAAATCACTATCAATGCAAATAAGGAAATAAACACATGGTTATTTATGTCTCAGGTTCTACAACATAGTATATTATAATTTAACTCTCCTACAGTAAATTTCCATTTTCCCCCTAGAGTAGCAGAAATGTGAATTTCCAAAATTTCAGGTAAATGTTTTCTGAGTCATTTAGCCAAGAAAGAATAAGAATGCTCTGCTACTCCATCCTGGACCCAGTTTCTGATCACCCACTCAGTTTCAGTGCATTCAAATGATCAGTTCACTCTATTCAGGCTCACCCCAACTCACTCCTTTTGCATCAAGAGATGAGTTTCCGCCCTGACTGGTGTTCTCAGTGGTTAGAGTCAGCCTGGGCCCCAAAGGGCTTTGGATTCAATTCCTGATTGAGGGCACATTCGATAATCCTAATTTTCCAGAAAACTCTGACTTTTCTGTTTTCACATGCTTTTAATCCATTTTAAATAAAAGAAAATGTTATAATGCTTAATTATAAAGATTAGATAACTTTAGTGTTATGGAAGATTTAAGTGATCTATAAATACATGGCAAAACAGCAATAAATTTAGATTTTAAACCCAATTCCTTAACAATTTGGTATAATATAATCTTGCTTTGATCACTAGTCAGAACAAAAAGGAGAGCAAAGGCCATACATAAAACATGCATTTTTGAGGAAAGAGAATGGCATCTGAAGGTTTCTTGAGAGCTGGCCCAGGCATTTTTATGCTATTTACCTAAAAGAATTGTCAACTTAGCGTATCACAGTTATTCATAAAGAATTGAGACTCTGGGTTATCATTGACTTGGGCAGAAGTACATTTGTACACCCCTCTTTTGTAATCTCACAGTCCTTCAATTAGAGGCAATGAGTGTGCCCACAAGCAGAATAAAAGTTTTATAAGCATTCTATGATAAAAAAAAAAAAGATAGCATCAAATCCAGCTTTACCAGTTTCTAAAATAATTCTTCCTTTACCCACACATTACTTTGTGTATCTCTGAAACATCTGAAAAATACTCTTCTGTGACTTACTAGGCTGTAGGGAATCAACACTTTTAGATACATTACAACGATCTCTAGCAGAATTTGGCATCTCTCTTCCATTAACATTAACTGAATGTCTCAACTGGGTCTTAAAAGAAAGTTGGCAATTTTCAGTTTTTGGGCCTCTTTGAGGTTTTGAATGCTCTATATCAGCTTGTCCTTTTACAGTCCTATTTTTAGATTTCTTCCTTTGTCCATTTAGCAATTTGTCTGGAGGTGAGGGCGTCGAACGTAAATGATATCCATCTGGGGACCCTTTCTGTCGGTTCGGCTTCATTTGTTCTTTGTCCACCTCCTTTTGAATCTGTAGTGCTAATAACCTGTCCTGTTCTTCTTGCTTGCGTCTCTCAAAAAGCAGCTGTTCCAAATCTAACAGTTTTTGAGTAAAGCTGGTTTCTGCTTCCTCTTGGTCTGAGGAAGATTCGGAGGGCATTTTCCTTCTTTTTGCAGAAAAGCGTGGATCCCTGACTGCTTCAGAAGAGGACTCCTGATTTTTTCTTTTGCAAATATCTTCTTCACTGATCAGTAGGCAAGACTCCTCATTTTCTGTCTCAACTGTGTTATTTCCAATTATCTGTGTCATATATGATAGAGCACATCCACTCTCTGTTTTGCCACAAGGCTTAACTGCAGCTTCTCTAGAGTAGGGGAGTCTGGCTTCAGGTCTCTCATGATTTATGGCACTTAATTCTTTATCATGATTGTTTGTTCTCATTTTGACTTCTTCAAGGCACCATTCTGTATCACTGGCACATAACTGAGGCATAGGTGACTCTATTGAAGACTTTGCACCTTGTTCTTGAACTTCAAAGCTTATTTGTGGAGAAAGTGTTGGCATATCTTCCTCCACGTCTGTGTCTTGCCACAGAGGGCTTTTCACATTGCTGTCAGTTTCCTATAGAAAACAGAAAAAGACACTGTGAACCAGAGTTATACATCAAAGCTTACATGTCTTACACTGATACCATAGTTGAATTGTCACTATTAGGTAGTTATTAGTATCGCTACTAATATGGTATATTGATTTTAATAGCATTTTTATTGTGTACCAGTTGAGATTAAGGTATTCCCTCATTTTTACTCCCATAAAACCTACCGATTAAAACCCACAAACTGAGTGCTAGCTGGTTTGGCTCAGTGGAGAGTGTGTCAGCCGGTGGACTGAAGGGTCCTGGGTTCGATTCTAGTCAAGAGCATATACCTCGGTTGCAGGCTCAATCCCTGGCCCTAGTTGGGGCTCATGTGGGAGGCAACCAATTGATGGGTCTTTCTCATATCAATGTTTCTCTCTGTCTCTACCCCTCCCTTCCATGCTTTCTTAAAATCAATGGAAAAATATCCTCAGGTGAGGATTAACAATCCCCCAAAAATAAAAAACTAGAATCTCTATATAGCCAATAGCTGGCACCATGACCTGACCTCTTTTTTATCTTACAAACTTCCAGTAGCCCAGGGATTTTAAACTCCTTTTTGTACCACAAACCCTCCTCCCTTAGGCATTTTGTGACGCTTATAGACCTCCTCTAAGAATAGTATTTTAAAATAGAAGTATGTAGGATCACAAATAAAACAATTTATATTGCAACACATTTACTGTAATGTTAAAAGTTATGATACAGCCGAAACTGGTTTGGCTCAGTGGTAGAGCGTCGGTCCGCGGACTGAAAGGTCCCATGTTCCATTCCGGAGAGGGGCATGTACGTTGGTTGTGGGCACATCCCCAGTAGGAGGTGTGCAAGAGGCAGCTGGTCGATTCTCTCTCATGGACGTTTCTAGCTCTCTATCTCTCTCCCTTCCTCTCTGTAAAAAATCAATAAAATATATTATAAAAAAAAAGTTATGATACAATATGTATCTATAAATAAGATCCAGTGGCAAGTCTAATAACTTATAATACTGATATGAGTATAAGTGATACTTCAAGAGATTTTCAACAAATATGATAAAAAATCATCCTTTATACTGATGACAAAGTCCTAGGTACTGTCTACATTCATAATTAAAGAAAACACTAAGATGAGAGCTCAGACAAAGTAAACCTTTTCTTTCATTTAAGTTCATATGTACACTCTGGATTCTAACCATAGACCTTAGGTTGAAACCTCTGCTTTGGCCAATATAATTCTTCTCACTTATAGATCTTATGTAAGTCAAGATCCAAGATTAGTTTTGACCATAGGAAAGCCTTAAAAAAGTCTTCAATGAGAATTTGTTTAAGAATAAAAATGATTCCTTGTTGGGGACATTCTGTTCTTCTAACTTCTTTATTCCTCACCCCAGGATATTTTTTCCATTGATTTTTAGAGAGTGGTAAGGAGAGAGGGGAAAGGGATAGATAAAAAAGGAGAAAGGGAGAAGAAAAGGAGAGAGGGATAGAAGGAGGGGGAGAGAGAGAGAGAATGAGAAACATTGATATGAGAGAGACACATCGGAGAGAGACACATCTATTGGTTGTCTCCTGCACACAGCCCTGATTGGGCTGGGATTGAATCTGCAACCCAGGTGTGTGCCTTTGATGGAGAATTGATCCTGAGACCTTTTGGTGCACAGGCCAATACTAACTGCAGAATCACACTAGCCAGGACTCTTTTACCTTCTTTGCTTTTGCATTTATCATTCCTGATAACATTTCTTATAAATCAATGTGGATTGGATTGAACAAATTCTAGGCTGCTTACCTAGTTCTGTTGTGAATATGAACAACAGGGTAGAAAAAATTGCCCAGCCCTACAATTCCTCTTCCTTCAATCCTCAATGTACCAACCAGACTATCTGGACTTGACTCCTCCATTACCTCTACTTTAAAGGACTCTGGGCAAGTTTCTTATCTCTGTGTGCCTCGTTTTCCCAGCTGTAAGATGGGCACAAGAATGATAACCATATTACAGAGTTGAAGGTTGTGATGAAGATTTAAAGAAAACACACACATTATCCGGCACAGTAAATGTTCATATAAACCACCTACCTGAATTGGAAAAAAAATTAAGAAAAAGGAACCTGTGAGTAAAGGGTTAACAAACCTTTTATGTAGCAAAGAGACCTGGGTGTCAGTTCACCTTTCCTAATTCTACTTACCTAGAAACCTGATAAAGGTGGAATGTCACCTGTGTTATTAGGCCACATAGCTTATGGTAAAAATGACCCTTACTGCTGAACTGCATTTGAACTAAAACTGTGATCTACAACACCTACCAGGAAGTCAAAGCGTGGGGCTTCTGTAAATGAGTTATAACTCCTTTGGGTGTGTTTCTGAGGGGGACTCCTGGAAGTTACCCCATTAGGTTGTTACAATGACTTGCAAGGGTCATGAGGCTTCTAAGCCAGAATGGTTACCACAGTCACCTGTGTGGTATCATTTCCACGCCATCACTTAAGAGCTCTGCAATGAGGACCCTTACTAAATTAAATGCCTACTAGCAAGCTTTGTTTCCTATCCTGTAATCTTTAAAGTGAAGTTAGTACCAAAGATAGCCTATTCAGTTTTGTGAGTTTGATTGCCTAGCCTGAGGATCCACAGACTGTGGCCCATGAACCAAATTCGGCCTGCTGTTTTTGCAAATAGTTTGATCAGAACAAAGATAAGCTCATTTGTTTACATGACAACAGCATAATTGAATTGTTGTGACTGAGAATATAAGGGCCAAAAGCCTAAGATATTTCTGGCCCTTTACAGAAAAAGTTTGCTTATTGATTCCTAGTCTAGGTAAGCGTAAAATGACTAAGAAATGGTGTCCCATGTATTATGGTGACTTAAAAAAAAAAAACAGGAACCTACAAGTATTTGCAATCTATAGCATTAGTAAACATGCCAAACTAAGAACATCTTTAGCATCCACGTACCTTAGTCATGGAGTTTCTTTTGCCTTCTTGTACAGCTTCAGACTGTGATGCTGACCCAAACTTAGATTTAGGTGACAAATACCTTTAAAAAAAATTTACCAAAGTTTGAATGCTTTGAAAGAGAAGTGGTATGTACCCAACATAATAAACTAGCTATTTATGCTGAAGGTTGTCTGGTTGTCTGAATGATTTAACAGAAAGAGCGTAGTCTGTCCCCTTGCCTCAGATATTTTAGTCTAACTCTTTTTAGGGAAAAAGAGCAGAAAAAGAAGTAAAATCTAAAAATTTCTTAACTCTCAAAAAATTTAAGAAGGCAGATAACATCAAACAACCAAGACTGTATAGTCTTACCAAAAGTACTGGCAATAATATTTCAGTCTGAAGAAAGGCTATGTTCAGTTTCTGTTTTTTGCTTTTAATATCAGAAAATCTATATATTTTTTTATCACGGAAAAGTTCATGATTAGTTTCTTTACCATGTTGGTATATATTTTTGCTACATACACATTCTACTTATATTTGTCCATATCAACATATAAGCAAAAGATTATATCTCAAAATTTCTAAGCATCTTTAACAGGCTGTTTACCCCTAAAAATATAAAGTTTATAAAATGGAAAATACTATAAAATAAATGGGAATAAAAGGACATGTATGTAATGAGCTGGTAGGTCTATTTAAAAATTGTAAAAATCCAAACACATATACAACTATGCTTAAACATGGCAGAAATCTCTCAAAATGTTGGATGTCTAAGTATTGGTAACTTTGGGTGATTTTCAAAGAGCAAGCTAGCTTTTATTTTTAATAATTAAAGAAAACAATGAAAAAGAAAGGTGTGATTGCAAATAATATGTACAACCAGAGTTGCACTGCGTAAAAAAGCACTGAGTAGTATATAGAATAAAATAAAACCTAGACAAAAATCTCATGTACAAATAATAAATATCCCTTATAAATAAACTAGTGTCTAACCCACATATTTAGTTACATCAACCTAAATACTCTACACACCTATGAGAACAAGAATCACCTTTTCAGTTGATATGAGAAAAACAGGAGTCCAGATTTAGTTGCATTTTAACTGTTTCCCAAAGCTGAAGAATCCCTTCTGCCAAAGTTGGATATTAGTCATCAAGTCTATTAGTTCCAAGTTAGAATTATTACAGCATAATAGTTGTTTTGAAATCCATAAGCAAAGAACAAAACAAGATGTGATCAGATACTATTCCAACTTGATTAGTTAAGATTTAGGAACAGTCCTGGATCTTCTTTACTTATAATAACCATAAAACTAAACGGAAATGTAGGAAATATAGATCAACATCCCTTTCCATTTCTATTTGCTTCCTCATATGTAACCAATTTTTTTTTTTTTTGTTATTAATCTTCACCTGAGGATAGTTTCCCTCCCATTGATTTTTAGAGAGTGGGAGGGAAGGGGAGGGTGGAGGAGAGAGAAAAACAACGTGAGGGAAACATTGATTGGTTGCCTCCCACATGCAACCCAGGTACATGCTCTTGACCGGGAATTGAACCTGCAACCCTTCAGTGTAAGGACCAACGCTCTGCTCACGGAGCCACATGGGCAAAGGGCTGTAACCACTTTAAAAAAATGTTTATTTCTATAGTACACATCTTTTTTTTTTATTTTTTTTTTAAAGGAATCCTAATTATCTGAGATTTTTATTTAAAAAAAAGTTCTCATCCAAGGATATGTTTTTATTGCTTTTTTAGATAAGAAGGGAGGGGTCAGGGAGGGAGGGAGCAAGGGAGAGGGAGGAGAGGGGGAGAGAGGGGAAGAGAGGGAAAGAGAGGGGAAGGGGGAGGGGAGGAGAGACAGAGAGAGGGAGAAGGAGAGAAAGAGGAAGAAAGAGAAAGAGGGAGGGAGGGAGGGAGGGGGAGAGGGAGGGGAGAGAGAGAGAGAGAGAGAGAGAGAGAGAGAGAGAGAGAGAGAGAAACTGACGTAAGAAACATCAATTGGTTGCCTCCCATATGTGCCCTGACCAGGGAAAGAACCCGAAACCTAGGTTATGTGCCCTGACCCTGATCAGAAACCGAACCCACAATCTTCTGGTGTATGGGATGACACTCCAACCAACTGAATTACCTGGCCAGGACTGAAATTTTATTTTTTCATTGGGTCATAAAAATTTAAGAGAGCCTACCTCATGAGAACAGTTTTGGAGAGAATAGTTACAACATATATATAACATTCACAATATGGGGGTGAGCAAAAGTATGTTTTCAGCTCTTCATATGGAAAGAGACGTGGAGCCTGGCAAGCATGGTTTGGTGATTGAGTGTTGGCCTATAAACCAGGAGGTCACTGATTCCCAGACAAGGCATATGCCCAGGTTGCATGCAGGTTGATGAATGATTCTCTCTCATCATTGATGTTTCTTTCTCTCTCTCCCTCTCCCTTCCTCTTTGAAATCAATAAAATATTCTAAAAAATTTACAAGATCACAAGAATCCTTACACTAACAATCACTGATTTTAAAATCCCTATGGGCCTCCTCTTTGTCTCCCTCTTCAGAGATGTTTATCCTGAATTGTTTATCTCTCTTTAAAAAAAATATATTTTAATTGATTTCAGAGAGGAAGGGAGAGGGAAATGGATATAGAAACTTCAATAGGAGAGAATGATTGATGGGCTGCCTACCATACGCCCCCACTGGGGACTGAGCCTGTAAATTGGGCAGGTGCCCTTGACTGGGATTGAACCCGACCTTTCAGTCCACAGGCTGATGCTCTATCCACTGAGTCACACTGGCTAGGGCATGAATTATTTATCTCTTATTTTAAAAAATAGTTTTACCACACACCAGTATCCTAAACACCTTATTGCTTCAGTACTGCATAATTTGAACCTTATGTATATAGGATCATACTACATGTATTCTCCCACAACTTGTTTTTTTCACCGGTTTTCCTGAATCATCCATGTTTTCCTTAGCTAAAATTCATTTTCACCGTTGGCTAATACTCTGACCTGTTGGAATATGGGTGCTTCTGGATCTTTACTAGTTATGAATAGTACTGCTGGGCACATTCCCGGACTTGTCTTCTGGGGTTTCTTTAGTGTCTATTCTCCAGTTATAGACTATCAATCTTTTAAACTCCCCGAAGCCTGTTAAGTGCTTCTTATCCTCTATAACACTTAACATTGCTAGAAAGTTTAACTTTTAGCTTCTTTCACTTAGCATGTTTCTGAAGTCATTCCCCTTTTAAAAATATGTATTTTTTTAAACTGATTTTAGGGAGGAAGGGAAAGGGATTAAAAACATCAGTGGTGAGAGAAAATCATTAATCGGCTGCCTCCTACATGCCCTACACTGGGGATTAAGCCTGAAATCTAGGCATGTGCCCTGACCAGGAACTGAACCATGACCTCTTGGTTCATAGGATAACACTCAACCACTGAGCTATGTCGGCCAGGCTGTCATTCCTTTTTTACAGGTGAATATTCCATTCTATGGATAAACAGTTTGTTTATACATTCATCCCTCAATGAACATTTGGGCTGTTTACACCTTTTGGCTAGCTGAAGGGTTGACACAAACATTTGTGTACAAGTACCTACCTGTTTCTAATTCTTTTGTGTAAATTTCTAGGAGTTACATGCTGACTCTCATGGTAAGTCTATTAAACTTTCTAAGGTGCTGCCAAACTATTTTCCACAGTGGCTGCACCACTTTATATTCTATTCACCAATGCACAGAATTCCAATTTTTCTACATTTTTGCCAGTATTTGCTATTCCTCCTTTCATTAGTGGGTATGAAATGGTATCTCATTGTAGTTTTTACATTTCCCATAAAGAGTAATGATATTGAGCATCTTTTTATGTGCTTACTGGCTATTTGTGCATTTTAAAATAAATATCTATTCAAGCCCATTTATTGTCTTATTGTTGAGTTATATTAAAAATTCTTTATATATTTGAGACTAGACCTTATCTGTTTTTAACTTTATTTTAACTTTTTAAAATTAAATTATTCTATTTTTAATACATTTCTTCTTATTGACTTCAGAGAGGAAGGGAAAGGGAGATAGAAACATCGATGACAGAGAATTATTGATCGGCTGCAGTCTGCACTGACCCACACTGGCCAAGGTATTTTTTCTTTTAATAGCAGGCACTCCATTTAACTCTGCCCCCACCCTAAATCTAATTGCCCAAACCCCAAATCCAAAATTTCTAAGAATTCTGCACATATTGTCTCAGCTGAACCAAAAGCCATTATGTTTTTGAAGTCTAGATTGTGTTTCTTAAACTTTTTAAACTATGAATTATGATGGGAAAGCTTATCATAGTCATCAATTCTACCTGATGCTGGAGGGGTGTTGTGGGGAAGCTAAACCATTGCTCCACTGTTGTCCACACGACTCGTACCTTTTTAGAGTAGAGAAGAAATATAATGTATAAACTGGGAAAAAGTGGGTGAATGATCTAGATGCCAAATTATAAACTCCTTCAATGAGGATGACCTAAACCAAGGGGAAAACAAAATCCAACTGGTTAGCTTTTTAATCTTTTTTTGGAGAGAGAGAGACAGAGAGACAGAGAAAGAGAGAGAAATACACCAATGTGAGAGACGCACCAATAGGCTGCCTCCTGCGCACATCCAAGGCTGGGCTTGGACCTTCAACCCTTGACTAGGAATTGAACCCGGACCCTTCTGTCCAAGGACCGATGTGCTGAACCACGAAGCTAAATCAGCCAGGGCCCAAAGGTTAGTTTTGAGAAAATGGGAACATCATGGAACCCTGAGCAATCAAGATTAAAAAAGAATTCATCTCTCTCTTCATGCTAGCCAGGAATCTAAGCTATGTGAGTAGCTCTCTTATTTTCATTTTCTATCAATCTCAGACCATCTGAAGGGTTTTCATGCAGAGTGCATAGACCAAATTTTGACAGTTAGTGAACTATATGAACAAAAAACACTGGCATACAGGTGGTCAATAACTGATAAACAGCCATGTTCACTTACTTCTGAATATCTCCTGTATTTGTTTGTTTATTTTTACTTTTCTTTTGCAACTTGCTTGTGACTGGATCAGATTTTCTGGAATTCTTGGGAGAAGCAAAGACTTTTTTCTCACAGAAGTTGTTCTTTAACAATAGAAAAAGCATAAAAGACATTATTAAAATAAATTTATAATAAAATAAGCTATTAATTCAACTAACTCAGAATTCACAACAAAAATTTTCAGGAATTATCTTACATTTAAATTCTACACACCCTTTGAATAACATTATGTAAAAATTAGTATAAACAAGATTAAGTCCAAAAACAAAAAAGATTAAGTTCATCCAAGTTTATCTAAATTAACTGAATTTTTACTCTACATGAAAGAGCACAAAAAACATAATGATACTAATCTTATTATCTGACTAGAGGGGCCTGGTGCATAAAATTCATGTGTGTGGGGGGGATAATGTGACCCTCAACCCAGCCCTTTCCAACTGGAATCCCTCTCACAATCTACGACTGCTGGCTCCCAACTGCTCACCTGACTACCCCTGCCTGCCTGACTAACCCTAATCGATTCTGTCTGCCAGCCTAAACCACTCCCTGGTCAGCCTGATCACTGCCTAACTGCTCCCTTGCAAGCCGGATTGCCCCTAACTGCCCGCCCCTACTGGCACAGTAATCCCTAACTGCCCGTGCCAGCCTGGTCACCCCCAACTGTCCTCTCCTGCAGGCCTGGTCGCCCCCAACTTCCCTCCCCTGCAGGCCTGGTCCCTCCCAACTACCCTCCCCTGCCGGCCACCTTGTGGCAACAATCTTTGACCACATGGGAACTGCCATCTTGTGTTGGAGTGATGGTCAATTTGCATATTACTTTTCAATTACATAGGATAATTTGTTAATATTTTTAATGAATAATTTCATATAACTACCTTTATCTAGAGGGGTAAATTCAAAGAGGTATAGATATACCTGAAATGAAAGTTTTATGTAAAAGTAATTTATCTTGGGGACTTACAGTCATACCAATAAATGCCATGAATATTTACTTGTTGTAGTTTCATAAGTTTCTTACCACACTACTGGAAAAATGAATATAACTGATGGTGACAGGCATTTGGCCTTGGACCACCCAATTTTCACAATTAACAAAAATTCTAAAATATAAAAAAAAAATTATAATTCCATGTGAAACCAAAGATTAGAATATCAGACTCTTAAAAGACATGTAAAGATTATCCTCTTTGCAAAAGTATGTGTACAGCTGTGAGCATGTAAAATAGCTATGGGCTATATCTATTATTTTTTTTATTTTTATTTTTTTGGTTAAATATATTTTATTGATTTCTTACAGAGAGGAAGAGAGAAGGATAGAGTTAGAAACATTGATGAGAAAGAATCATTGATCAACTAACTCTTGCACATGCCCTTGACAGGAATCGAACTTGGGACCTTTCAGTCCACAGACAGATGCTCTATCCACTGAGCCAAACCGGTTTTGGCTGGCAGCTGTATCTATTATTAACATTTGTATTATGTAAACCTATTTTGCTCACTTTTGTATTCTCTTTCTTATCCTATTATTCTATTGGTCAATGTCTTTACTTCTTATTTGTACCTTTATAAAGCTATTTTACTTAAATTTTAAAAAGTATATTAAAAAGGGCATACAATCTAAAACTTGAATATATTATTAATATTATTAATGGTAGGCCTCTCAAAAATGAAAAAAAAAAAAAAAAAAAAAAAAAAAAAACCCAACTCTGGATATAGTTCTTTTTAGTAAGTGTACTTTAACATATTTGTTGTTTTTAGAGGCTCTCAAACCTGAATATACCTCAGACTTCCCTAAATGCCTCTGGGAATGCTATTCCCTAAGTCCCATCCCCAGAGATTCTGATTCAGTAGATATAGAACAGTTTATATTTTTAAAAAATCCCAGGGTAATTTGCCAGGTTCGTACAAATCACTGGGTCCCATTGTATTCTTTAGTCTTAAAGTATGCGTTTTTACCCTTCCTTTCATTAATTTCCCCTATGCAATAATTTAGCTATAGCAAAATAATAAAATTTAGCTTTAATATATTAAGAATTTAATGTGCTTCACTTTCTAAAAATTATCTATATCAATACAATAGAATAGTATACCACTCTTTAAAAAAATTAGAGTATATGCAGTAATACACCTACAAAAAAATCTCTATGATATATCAAGTGAAAAAAGGCAAGAAAAAAATAGTATAGCCGAAACCGGTTTGGCTCAGTGGTAGAGCGTCTGCCTACAGACTGAAAGGTCCCGGGTTCGATTCCGGTCAAGGGCATGTACATTGATTGCGGGCACATCCCCAATAGGGGGTGTGCAAGAGGCAGCTGGTCGATGTTTCTCTCTCATCGACGTTTCTAGCTCTCTATCTCTCTCCCTTCCTCTCTGTAAAAAAACAATAAAAATATATTTAACAAAAATAGTATAACTGATAAATCCTTTTTAGGCAAATAAGAAAAATAGTTTTAAGAAATGGTTAATAGTACAAACTTTGGGACTGAGGTAATGGAACAGAATGGGAGTGAAGAGGTAGAGGGGGGAAAGGAAGCTCTCATTTTTCATTGAATAGCTTTCCTGCATACTTTCAATTTACTATTAATATAAGTTTTTTCAAGTATTCTTGAATTAGAACAACTATGTAACAATAAACGAAAATTGAAAGAGTTTTCAGTAGAACAAATGTCAGCAATAGCTTGTAGTTATAGTGAACATTTCTTTGAAAATTAGTCAAAGCAATACGAATGTTAATGCTTCCAAAATCATCTCCTAAAACTTACAATATTAATGCTTAGCTTTCTTGCCAGTTCTTCATCACGTTTTAGCTGTTCTTCCATTTCTCTTTTCCTTTTTTCTGCCTGTCTCTTTTCTTCTTCCTCCTCCTCTGCCAATAATCTCTGTATGTACTCTTCACTGGCTTTGTTTTCTTCTTCCTCACTGGCCCGTCGCTCTGCCTCCACCTTAAAAATAATTAATAGAGAACAATCCTTCTCTGAACTTTCTATTTATTTTATTTTCTTTAAAGGTATTATTTTAAATTCTTTTTAAAAATATATATTTTATTGATTTTTTAAAATAAATCTTTATTGTTCATATTATTACAAATGTTCCTCATTCTCACCCCCCCCCATTGCTCCCCTCCACCAGGTTCCCACCCCACCCTCTGCCCTTTCCCCACCCCCCATTGTCCTCATCCATAGGTGCACAGTTTATGTTCAGTCTCTTCCCACTCCCCCCTCTCCCCTTTTCCCCCCGAGAAACCTCAGTCCACTCCCCTTCCATACCTCTGATTCTATTATATTCACCAGTTAATATTGTTCATCAGTTGTTTTTTTTAATTCCCTTGGTTTTTAGATTCACTTGTTGATAGTTACGTATTTGTTGTTCATAGTTTTTACCTTTATTTACTTTCTCTTCTGAAAGAACCCCCTTCAGCAATTCATATAATTCTGGTTTGGTGGTGATGAACTCCTTTAGCTTTTTTTTTTACTAGTGAAGCTCTTTATTTGGCCTTCAATTCTGAGTGATAGCTTTGCTGGGTAGAGTATTTTTGGCTGTAGGTTCTTGCTATTCGGCACCTTGAATATTTCTTGCCATTCCCGTCTGGCCTGCATGGTTTCTGTTGAGAAATCAGCTGACAATCGTACATGTGCTCCTTTATAGGTAACTACCTGCTTTGCTCTTGCTGCTTTAAATATTCTCTCTTTGTCTTTTGCTCTTGGAATTTTAATTATGATTTGTCTTGGTGTGATCCTCTTTGGATTCCTTTTGTTTGGAGTTCTGTGCGCTTCCTGGACTTGTAAGTCTAATTCTTTCACCAGGTGGGGGAAGTTTTCTGTCACTATTTCTTTCAGTATGTTTTCGATATCTGGCTCTCTCTCATCTTCTGGGACCCCCATAATTCTGATGTTGGTTCGCTTGAAATTGTCCCAGAGGTTTCTTACATTATCTTCAATTTTCTGGATTCTCTTGTCTTCTTGCTTCTGTGGAGGAGTGTCTTCTGGCTCTTTATGTTCCAAATCTTTTGACTTGATTCTTGTGATCTTTCATTTTGTTTTTAGGACTCTCTATAATACTTTTTATTTCAGACAAAGTATTCTTTATTTCTTGTTGATCCCTTATTAGTTCTTGTTGATCCCTTTTCATCTCCTCATAGGTCTTATCAACCTTTTCTAGGAAATTCTTGAAAAACCTTATAAGCGTGGTTTTGAACTCTATATCCAGTCTCTTCTTTTCCTCCATTTCTTTTGTTTGTGATCTATTTCCTTGTCTTAGCATTTTCACAGCTTCCCTGAGTTGGTAGGGTGGCTTTGTGTGCTAAGGTGTCCTATATAGTTCAGTGAGTCAGCCTCCCAGTTACCTGAGGTGGACAGACTTGGTGTAGCCTTTTGTGGGATGTGTGTGCCGTTTTGTTGTTAAGCCTTGCTTGTTGTTGGTATCACTGGGAAGTGTTGATCTCCAAGCCAATTGGCTATGAGGATCAGAAGTGTCTCAGCTAGGAGGGTTTCTATAGTCTGCTTGGATGGGCGGAGTCTCGGGGTGGCACAGCCCAGTTTTGTTGAGTCCCGCACATTTGGTTGCAGGTGCGCGCACCTCTTTGGTATAGGAGCAGACAAGCTTTAGATTCCTGTCTGCCCCTCCCTCGGAGAGTCCTATTGGCAGCGAACGAGGAAGCTAGCCACTGGAAGGGCTTCTGTGCTCTGCTTGGATGGGGCGTAGTCTCGGGTGGTGCAGACAAGCTTTATTCAACCTCTCACTACAAGGATCTGGCTTCTGAGTCCCGCAGTAATGGCTGCTGGCTTCACACACCTCCGAGAGATCCCTGCCCACTGCCCGACAGTGTGGCCTCTCCCTGTCTGGGGCCATCTATCAGGGCAATAGGGTGGTTCTGTTTTCCTCCTGAACAAGAAAGCCAGCCACGCATTAGCTGTCCACCCTCTCTGCGTGCAGGGAGTAAGCCGGTAGCATACTCGGCCTGCCCTCTCGGCGCCTGGCAAGCAAGCCGGCAGCAAATTCTGCAGCCTCTTTTTCGCGCGCACAGTTTTCCGTACCTTCACAGTTCCTGAGGTTTAGCACGCCTTCTCTCTCCTTCCCAGATGGTAGAGCTTCCGCTCAGCTAGCAGTCCGGCGCTTCAGGGTGATGTTTCCCCTATTTTTCAGTTCTAAATTCAAACTTGTTGTGGTAGGCTGCATTTGGGCGTCTGCCCTATGCCGCCATCTTCTATTTTATTGATTTTTAACAGAGAGGAATTGAGAGGGATAGAGAGCTAGAAACATCGATCAGCTGCCTCCTGCACACCCCCCACCAGGCACATGCCCGCAACCAAGGTATATGCCCTTGACTGGAATCGAACCCAGGACCCTCCAGTCCGTAGGCCAACGCTCTATCCACTGAGCCAAACCAGTTTTGGCACTTCTCTAAACTTTTTAATGTACTTGCAATATCTACCTATAATAATAAAAGTGTAATATGGTAATTAGACTGGATATCTTTCCGGACGACCTTTTGGACGAAGCCAGGCTGCGAGGGAAGCCCAGGTCCTGGGTGCCAGAGGGAAGCCAGTGCTGGCAGCTAGAGGAAGGAAGGCCTACTCTTGCACGAACTTTGTGCATCAGACTTCTAGTTTCTTAATAAGAACAGTAAACAATTTTTTAAATGAACAAGTAGACAGGAATTAAGATATCTCAAATGAAGTATAAATCTGGAGAGGCAAATTCCTAAGGATAGTTCAAGAAGTCTCTTGATCAGCCCAATAAAACCTTAATCAACTCTCACCCCTCCTCACCTCAGTCCTTAATCCCAGCTTCTATTACACTGGCACACATTTGTGGACTATGTTTCCAGGTAATACTTTACCTCAGTTAACAGAATGCCATGTGCAGATGACCTTAGACCTAGGTTCCTGAACCAAAAGGAATATAATGTTAAAAACTAAGACTTATTGGATCGATCCCTGAAATTTGGAACAGTCCCTAAACACAGTGGGCAGGAGTGGAATGGTTGCCAAAGAAACACCCACATTGGTTATTATTTGATTTACAAAAGAAGAAACAGACATATAAAAACAAATAACTTAAAACAGTAAGTGGGAAAATAGAGATTCAAACTCTGATTTAGATTCTAAGGCCATGCTTATGGTCATTTAAACTATAATTCTCCTAAAAAGAAACAAATAATACTCAAGAATATGTCCTTGATCTAATCCCATAAAAAAAAAAAAAAAAAAAAAAATGAGGTTCAGAATGGTGTGGCCATCTTGCTATTAGCCTGAGCTAATGCCCGCTGACAGAAGTTAGCAAAGATCTGGATCTAGTGCTCTGGATAAAACCACCCCTTAAGTCCCTACCTCTGGACTTCCAAATAATTACAACTTATTTAAATAATTACAATTAAATTACAAATTACAATTTAATGATTGTTTAAGGTAGCTAAGTTGGATTTTCTTTTTTTTAATATATTTTATTGATTTTTTACAGAGAGGAAAGGAGAGAGCTAGAAACGTCAATGAGAGAGAAACATCGACCAGCTGCCTCTTGCACACCCCTACTGGGATGTGCCCGCAACCAATGTACATGCCCTTGACCGGAATCGGACATGGGACCTTTCAGTCTGCAGGCCGACGCTCTACCACTAAGCCAAACCAGCTTCGGCTGATTTTCTTTTATTTGCTGTCAAAATAGAGCCTGTTCTCACTACCTTATCATAAGGACTAACATTCCTTTAAAACCTTTACTTAAGCCCTGGCAAGATGGCTAGGTTGGCTGGAGCATTGTCCTGTATACCAAGAGATCCGATTCCTGGTCAGGCCACATACCTAGGTTGTGGGTTCAATCCCTGGTCAGGATGCATATAGGAAGAAGAAAACGAATTGATGTTTCTCTCTCACATCGATGTGGGTTTTCTCTCTCTTCTCTTCTATTCTCTCTTTCTCTCTCTCAAAATCAATAAAAACATATCCTCACATGAGAATGATACAAACAAAAAACCCTTACTTAAGAATACAACTTAGACAATATGCTGACAATTAACTATCATAATTATAGTAGCCACTAGCTACATTATTGAGCATTTGAAAAATGACTAGACCAAAGCAATATGTACTGTAAGTACAAAAATTAAAAATAATGCAAACTCTAATGATTAATTTTTGTATAACTATATAATGCCCAATCACATTTAATATACACATAGTTGATGTATAATTATAATTTGATATAATTACTACTTTTATATTGGTAACAATATTTTAGATATAATGCGTTAAATAAAATATAAAATTAATTTCATCTGTTGTCCGGAAAAATTCTTTAATGTGGCAACCAGAAAAATTTTAATTGTATGTAGATTCACATTGTCTTTCTATTGGACAGCAGTGCTCTACACCAGTGTTTCCCGAAGTGTGGTATGCGTACCCCCAGGGGTATGGGAAGTTTGGTGGGGGTACGCGTTGCATCGGAGTTTGGTGGGGATATGCACTGCACCGTTCTTAGCTGCACCTAATTCTATGTTCTCATGAGTATGAGGGGTACTCAGCGTTACGAAAATTATAGAAGGGGTACACATATGTCAAAAGTTTGGGAAACAGCCGAAACCGGTTTGGCTCAATGGATAGAGCGTCAGCCTGCGGTTTGAAAGGTCCCAGGTTCGATTCCGATCAAGGGCATGTACCATGGTTGCGAGCACATCCCCAGTCGGAGTATGCAAGAGGCAGCTAATCGATGATTCTCTCTCATCAATGTTTCTAGCTCTCTATCCCTCTCTCCTCCTCTCTGTAAAAAATCAATAAAATATATTAAAAAAAAAAAAAGTTTGGGAAACACTGCTCTACACTAAGAAGGAGAATAAGGAGATAAGAGGGCTCTCCTGTAGTACTTGTGGATTTCAAAGGCTTCATTGAAAGCACTACTCCCTCTTTTCCTACTTAGATAATTCACAATGAGCACTATTTTATACGCTCCTCATCTAAACTCACTGTTTTGTCTACCCAAAATTCACATATTGAGGTTCTAATCTCCCGATGTGATAGTATTTGGAGTTGGGGTCTTTTAAAAAAATATGTATTTTTTTATTGATATCAGAGAGGAAAACAGAAACTTCAACGATAAGGCAGAATTACTGATTGGCTACCCCTTGCACACCTTCAACTTAAGAACAAGTGTGCAACCTTGGGCATGTGCCCCAATTGGCAATAGAACTCGATGTTCAATCACTGAGCCACACCAGCCAGGCTGGAAGTGGGGTCTTCGGGAAGTAAAGGGTCATGTCCTCATGAATAGGATAATGGGATTAGTATCCTGATATCATGAGATTAAGAGAGATGCTCTATCTCCTCCGGTTTCTCTCCTGACCTCTCCCTCCTCTCTCTCTTCTCTCCTCTTCTTCTCTCTCCTTTTCCCCTGCCTGGAACTTCCCAGCCTCCAGAACTATAAGAATGTTTGTTGTTCAAGCCCGCTAAATCAATAGTATTTTTTTCTTAGCATCCTTAACGGACTAAAACACCCATCATCTACCACAATATTTCTATCCTTTAAGCTCAAAGCTTCAGGAAAATGAAAATGCTTAGGAATAACTATCACATAAATTTGTAACTACTGTGAACACATTAAAAATGGAACCTTTATAAAGTACATCAAAATTATTTACATTTCAATATATACTATTTATATAAGTACATAAAACTACATGTAAAATGTGAAAATGAAAACACAACAGAGAATTTTCCAAGAACAGAATAACTATTTAATTCCTACCTTGCTTATCTCCTCTTCATATTCTCTTCTCAATTCTCCAGGTTTACTTAACAGGTGAACTGGCTGATAGTCATCAACTGTTCCAGATTAAGAAAGAAAATAATTTAAGAGGCAACACAAAATTTTATGGCTAGCTTTGTCTTCCATTAAAACTATTAATATAAAAATGAAGAATTAAAATAAAATGTACAATTATTAACAGCTACAGCAATATCTACTTTATGGAGTTCCATTTTAAAAGGAAAACTAACTAATAAAAGAAAAGAACAACCAGAGGTTCAAAATACCACATGAATATGTACACTTAAATCTTTCTCTAGACTTACATTAAAGAAATACAAAGAAAGTAATCATACACAGCAAAGAGATAGACGGTCTCAGTAAACAACAAAAAATTAAAAATTTGTGGAAAATTATTCTTCCATCCCTTTGTTCCAGGATGCCTCAAGGATACAAACACAAAGGATGTTTACATCTCTATATAAAATAGTATAGAGCTATGCATACTATTGGCCCTCCGGATCAGATGACTCCCAAACTCAAACTAAAACAGCACAAGTATTATTATTATTTTTTATTTTTTTTAAAAGCTGCAAAAGAGTGGGCAGTCGACTGACTGGAAATTCTACAACTAGAAGGAAAGAGAAAACCAGAAGGAAAATCAGAGGAGCGTAAAAGCCTAAGGTATGGAGACACGCGGAGCACACAGAGAGGACGGAGCCGGAGAGGAGGGGAAGGCTGAGGTGCTGGCTGGCGTTCCCTAGCGGGAAGGAGATAAAAGCTCCGGACTGTGCTGAGCCCCAGATCCGACAGCACTGAACCCCAGTTCTAGGCCAGACCCTGGAGACCCAGGCTCAAACAGGGGGAGCAGGGGCTGTGAGGCGGAATCTCAGGGGAGCGGCGAAAGGCAGAACCTCCGGAGGCGCACACATTTCGCGCAGAGGATGGACCGTTGACTCTGCTGCCAGATTGCCCTTCGCGGGAAGGAGACAAAAGCTCTGGACTGTGCTGAGCCCCAGTACCGACTGCGCTGAACCCCAGTTCTAGGCCAGACCCAGGGGACCCAGGCTCATACAGAGGGAGCCTGGGGTGTCAGGAGGAAACCCTGGGACAGCGAAAGGAAGTCCTGGAGGCGCGCACATTGTGTGCAGAGAACTGACGGTTGACTGTGCCGCTGGATTGCCCTAGCAGGAAGGAGACAAAAGCTCCAGACTGCTCTGAACCCCACTTCCAACTGAACTGAACCCCAGTTCTGGGCTCATTGGGGGAGAGCCTAGACTGTTCGGTAGTGGGTGAACTCAAGGGCACCTTTCTCTCAGAGGTGCTTGTACCGAGTACCAAAGGACACTGAGGAACACTGAGACTCAGGAGCCTCATAGGGCAGGGCTGACAGAAGCCAAGGCTGTAGGCTCCACCCTGAAACTCCGCCCCATCCAAGCTGAACACAGAGACTTTTAAAACTACCAACTCAGGGAAGCTGTGAAAATGCCGAGACAAAGAAACAGATCACAAACAAAAGAAATGGAGGACAAAAAGCGACTGGATATAGAGTTCAAAACCATGCTTATAAGGTTTTTCAAGAATTTCCTAGAAAAGGTCGATAAGACCTATGAGGATATGAAAAGGGATCAACAAGAAACAATAAGGGATCAACAAGAAATAAAGAATACATTATCTGAAATAAAAAATATTATAGAGAGTCCTAAAAACAGGATGGAAGATCGCAAGAATCAAGTCAAAGAGTTGGAACACAAAGAGCCAGAAGATACTCCTCCGCAGAAGCAAGAAGACAAGAGAATCCAGAAAGTTGAAGATAATGTAAGAAACCTCTGGGACAACTTCAAGCAAACCAACATCAGAATTATGCGGGTCCCAGAAGGAGAGAGAGAGCAAGATATCAAAAACATACTGAAAGATATAGTGATAAAGAGAACATGTTGCCCTAACTGATTTGGTTCAGTGGATAGTGTCAACCTAGGGACTGAAGGGTCAAAGGGTCCAGGGTTCAATTCTTGTCAAGGGCATGTACCTTGTTTGCAAGCTCAATGACCAGTAGGAGGTGTGCCAGAGGCAGCCTATGAATGACTCTCTCATAACTGATGCTTCTATCTATCCCTCTCCCTTCCTCTCTGAAATCAATTTAAAACTATTTTAAAATATGATTAAAATAGCACATTTTGTCATATATATTTACAATAAAAAAAAAATTCCAGCACAAAAAAAGGCAAGCACACTAGAGCACAGACAGCACATTTAAGACAAAAAACATTTTCATAGCTTATTGATCCACATAAGTTATCAAAATGCTATAGTAAAAAATGTTATGTTTGGGTCATTCTCAATAGCTGCTGAGTCCACATTGTGGAGGAATTTGCATAAAAACGGCTTAACCAGAGGGAACTGGTCAAAAAAATCTAGTTTAGGATCAATGCATGCTTAAGATGGAGATGTATAAGCAAGTAAGTTAGAGAAAGTAATTGAAAGTAAAAGAAATATCCTATGGCTCATTTGAATTTTTATACATCTTTCCATAAGAATAAAGACTCAAATTCTTTTTTTCTTTTCACTTTTAACCCAACAAACACTACACTTTTAACCCAACAAACACTAACTGAACAGCAACCTGAGTATTATACAATGAACGAAATCTTGTCTCTGACTTTCTGCTAAATAATTTAGACAAATACTAATTGAGCTTTTTCTTTTTTTTAATCCTTTAAAAAATGGATTAGCAATGATTCTTTTATTATTATTCACTTTTAAGAGGATTTTTTTTTTTTTTTTTTTTTTTTTTTTTTTTTTTTTTTTTTTTAGCAAACAGGCTGGGTTTTACTCACCAGTTTCTTCTAATTCTTGCCCAGAGACTCTAAGTTTGCATTCCTTTGGGTAGTGTTTCTGAATTATCTCCCACAGCTCCTTATTGATGAGAGAATTTCTACGAGTATGATACCGGGTCCACGAAGACACCCGACGACGACAGAAGGGGCAGCACAGGTTCGCCTTCTCCACAGTGGACTGGAAGCATGCATTACAGAGCGTGTGGTTACAGGGCAGCGTGACCGGCTCCATGAAGATTTCCATGCAGATCCCGCACTGGCATTCCGACAAGGGAGGGATGGCATCTTTAGGTACAGCCATTTTAATATGCTGAAAAAGACATAGTCAACATCAACGCCCGAAAGACGAAGAATCGTATTTCCGGCCCAACCAAGGGGAAACCAAATGAACAGTTTTGTGTTTAAATATTATGCCCAGCAGCGTAGCGGAACTCAGAGGTGGTTAGTTAGCATCAAACGACGGAAGCACAAGGCGCTCAGCGGGCCAGGTAAGCAATACCACCCTGGAGGCTGTGTGTTCGAACCTGTTTAGACAAACGTCCGGTTAGAAAATAAAGAGACGCTGCCGCCCTGAGACCTCGGCAGCTCCCGGGGCATTACTATACCCGCCTCCGCAGCGCAGCCGGCGGGTCCGGCGCTCCGGCCTGGGGCGGGCGTGGGACAGGCTCCCCTCCTCCCTCTCACCGGGTGAGGATGCTCCCGCCGCCGCCACGGCAGCGGCCTCGGCGCCACCGTCCTGGAAAGGGCCCGGCTTCCGCGGGGGCTTCTGGCTCCGCTGGAACAAGGCTTCCGCTTCACCATCGCAGTGGGGTCAGCGCACGAGCCCCCGCGCCCCAGCTTTCCAGCATCTGGAGCGCTCGGAGGCCGCCTCTCCCTTCTCCAGAGGCGGCCAATTTGCTACATCCCCACGGCGCTGCCGCGGCAACCCGACCGGCGCTAGTGACGTCACAACTGCCCGCCGAAAAGGGCCACGCCCCCCAGGAGCCGCCCAATAGCAGAGGCCAGGAACGCTACGCAAGGCGGGACTTCCGGGGCTTGAGCGCGCCCATCTCGCTCCACGGGGGAGGGCGGGGAAGGGAGGGGAAAGTCCCTGCTCCTGGCCCCTCCTACTCCAGCTTGGGACTCCGAGCCCGAGTTTCCCCCAAATCTTTCAGCTCCCCGAGGCTGCGGAAACAGGGGGGATTATCGTCTGTGTTCAGAAAAGGGGAACCTCCAAACAAATTTTAAAAATTCTTGCCAAAACCGGTTTTGCTCAGTGGTTAGAGCGTGGGTCTGTGCACTGAAAAGTCCCAGGTTCGATTCCGGTCAAGGGCATGTACATTGGTTGCAGGCACATCCCCGGTAGGGGATGTGCAAGAGGCTACTGGTCGATGTTTCTTTCATGGATGTTTCTAGCTCTCTATCCCTTTCCCTTTCTCTGTGGAAAATCGATAAAGTATATTAAAAAATAAAAATAAATAAAATTTCTTTCCGTACTCTTCAAACTACCTTTCTATTTCTATCAGTTTGTAACTAAGCCTCTTAGGTTGCTATCCAGAGTTTTTAGAAAAGCAGTTCTGAGCTTGATCTCCGGGAAAGGCTGTGATCAGAGAATCTGCAAACTTGTATAATTTATGGAAGCATTTACTGTTCTCTCCGTAGCCCAGCCCCTTCTCAAATTTGCCTTTCATTTTAGGGTTGCCCCGCTCAAGGCTGCTTCTAACCTGAGGCTCGGCAGTAGTGTGCATCGAATGTAATGTAGTATTTTATTATTAAATCATCTAGAACAATCAAAATTATTAGGAGGTCAAAGGCAAAATAGTTTAACATCTTGGCATTAAGTTCTTGTACTGACAACTGATCCTGTGGTAGGCAGTTAAAGGAGAGCAGAGAAAGGAGGGCGGGGCAGGTACCGGTTACACCAGAGTGGAAAGCCCTGTGTGCCCGGGAAGGGACAGTTGTAGGATGGGACCTCATTCCCTAGCATGCAGTTTAGACCTCCTTGACCTTTCATATTATTGGTCATTCAGTTTAGGCCAATGAGTCTCAACCTTTCTAATGCTGCGACCCTTTAATACAGTTCCTCATGTTGTGGTGACCCCCAACCATAAAATTATTTTTGTTGCTACTTCATAACTCATTTTGCTACTGTTAAGGAATCGTAATGTAAATATCTGTTTTTCCCGGTGATCTTAGGCTCTACAGCAGCGCCTAAAATCTACAGTAGTGGTCGCAACCCACAGGTTGAGAACCGTTAGCAGGGTCGCCTAAGACCATCAGTTTGTATTAAAGGGTCACGGCATTAGAAAGGTTGAGAACCACGGGTAGACACTCTGACCCTTCGTACCTAGAAATAACATTTAGGTCTCAGCTGGATTTTAGTTCCAGGACCAAGATAAGCAGCAAAACCAGAGAAACAACACCATGACTGGCCTTAGAATCAGCTGCATTGAATAATGACCCACTGCCCTGGTGCGGACCAATCAATCAGTGGAGACCTAGCCCCTGAAAGGACACACCTGCAAAGCTGATGAATATTCAATTAAAATCCTCCTCTGGAACCTCCCTAAGATAAAGCCCATAGAAGGAGGTCGCCAGGCAGCAATCCCTTCCAGGATCCAGCCAGCCCATTTCCCTATCACCTCCCTGCCCTCAGGCAAGTCACCTTTACCTTCCTCACTTCAAAGGCCCCTCCTTTGCTTCTATAATTGGTTCCTAAACCCATTTCTATGAACTACTTCTCCCTCTGGGATTTTCCAAGAAATGTTCTCTTAATGTTTGAGTCTTAGCTCTGAATTCTTTCTAGACAGAACTCAAGCACTGAGGTTGATGAAACCAGGTCTGGGCTAACACCTGGTGCCATTCTTGCTGCCACCAACAAGCCTAGTGAATTGATTGCTATAAATTAGGAGGTCACAGTTCAATTTCCAGTTAGGTCAAGATATGCCCCAGTTTCTGGCTTAATCTTGAGAGGGGAGCATGGCAGCTGATCAATGATTCTCTCTCATTATTGATGTTTCTCTCCCTCTCTTTTCATCTCTGAAAAAAAGACAAAGGCCCTAGTTGGTGTGGCTCATTGGATAGAGCATTGGCCTGAGGACTGAATGGTCCTGGATTCAATTCCACTTAAGAGTACATGCCTGGGTTTCGGGCCTAATCCCCAGTAAGGGGAGGGGGGGGGGTGTGTGCAGGAGGCAGCTGATAATGATTTTCTGTCATCATTGATGTTTCTCTCTCTCTCTCCATCTCCCTTCCTCTCTGAAGTAAATAAAAATACATCTTTAAAAAAAAGACAAAGGACCCAGAGCAGCCCCCATCATTCCATTTCCCATTTTCTTCACTACTTTCCCCCCATAGGCATGCATCTCCTAAACTCTAAGGAACTCCAGGAGACTTGCAACCTGAGGAGCAATGGGCAGCAACATCTCATCCCAGGCTAATCCCCTGAACCTGTTCCCAATGCCCCTTTTCTCTGACTTCCCAGAAAGCTAGTTGCTTCTTCTATATTAAGCCCTTTCCAGCTCTAATAAACATAGTCATCTGAACTTGTGTTGTGAAATTTTTCCTACATGAAGTAAAAAACCCACACACTACCGTCCAGCCCCAGGCAGACCCGCTCAGAGCCAGGTTCCCTTTCCTGTAACCATATATCTCCTAGTTATAGTAGTTTTTATCATACTTTTATTTGATTCTTTCATTTTGAGCCCTGGCTGAGTAGCTCAGTTGGTTAGAACACTGACTTGATAGGCCAAGGTTATATGTTCAACCCTGTTCAGGCATATACAAGAATCAACCAATGAATGCATGAATAAGTATAACAGATCAATGTTTTTCTTTTCCTTCCTATCTATAAAAATCAATACATTTTTAAATTACTGCATTTTGATTTCTATTTTTAGAAACCTTCTGTAATGGATACATTTTATATGCTTCTTCAGATTTTCTTGGCCTTGTCCTAGGTCTGCTTGAGGGATATTCTTGAAATCTGTCTTGTCCTGCCACTTGTGGACTCCTGTGAAACACTGCACTGAACAATGCAGGCTCTGACTTGCCTGTGGTTGCTGGGAGGGCTTAGATGATGCATCCTGGAAGTATGGGGTGTCACTCCCGTGGAGCAAACTTTGGCTAATTGAAAACATAGAAATTTTCTTTTTTCCAAGGCATGGCTCCTTCAAATGGTGTGTCTGGAGAAGGACCAGATTGAGCAGATATATCTGCCAAGCAACCTGCTGTATCTCTTGTGGCTCATTTTCAAGGAGCCACAAGGTTACACATCACCTTGTATTACTTCTTATCTTTCTCTACCTAGCATCCTTCCAGAGTGTCACTGTCCTGAATTTGTATCTCCTAAAAAAGCATCAGCATTTAACATTTACCTGGAAGACAGGACCCACATTTTTTGTTGTTGTTAATCCTCACCCAAGGATATTTTTCCATTGATTTTTATAGAGAATGGATGAGAGAGGGAAAGACAGAAATATTGATATGAGAGAAACACATCAATAGGTTGCAAACCCTGACCAGGGCTCAGGTTGGGTAGGAGTTTGCAACCAAGATACGTGCTCCGCAGGCAGACACTCTATCCACTGAGCAAACCAGCTAGAGCAGGACCCACATTTTTAAATGTTTTTGTTGTAGAACCTCACACATGGCATTTGGTGTTCAATAAATATCATAGATATATGATCTATGTGTGTGAGTTCCCTTTCTGGTATAAATAACTGTGATACTGTACTAGAGAGAAAATGTACATCAACATACAATTTAAGTAAGGTATTTTTACTGTTTTGTCTTTTAATAGATAATACATTTACATATTTCAAAATTCAAAATGTATATATGAATGAACAAGATTTCTTCCTATCTTTGATCCACTAGCTTCTTAGTTTCCTTCCTTAAGACAACCAATGTTCTCAGGATCTTGTATCTCTCCAGAAGTTGTTCATGGATATATTAGCTTATGTATGTGCATATATGCATATGTGTTTGACCCTTTTTCCATTTAAAATACATATTGGAAATAAATATTTTATTTTTATTTTTTAAAATATTTTTTATTAATTTCAGAGAGGAAGGTAGAGGGAGAGAGAGGGAGAAACATCAAGGATGAGAATCACTGATTGACTGCCTCCTACATGCTCCCTACTGGGGATTGAGCCTGCAGCCTAGGCATGTGCACTTGGCTGGAATCGAACCTGGGATCCTTATGTCCACAGGCAGACACTCTATCTACTGAGCTAAAACCAAAGAGCTTCTTCATTCTTTTATTTGACTATATATAAATATCCATTATAGCAAATTATCATAATTTCTCTAATACTCTCCCAATTTTTGCTATAAAAATAAGACCATAGCAAAATTGTATGTACATATTTTTTTCCCATTTGCAAGGTAAATTACTGGAAGTGGGATTGCTAGGTCATAAGGTAACAGGTTAGTTTTTGACAATTGGCATCAACTCTTTTAGGGATGACTTTTGCTCTTCAGGGGCTGTCACTGCTTTCCCCTTCTCAATGAGCTGGACAGCCATTAGCAAGGCATTCTGCAGAGCCTGGTTCTTTACCATGTTGGTGATCATGAACGCGACGTCCCTGATGTACATCTGTCTCACTTTGGCACTGTAGTGTTCTGCCTTGTTACCATGTGCAATAAAGAAGGTACAAAGTGCTGTGGTTTCGCCTTCTTGCAGCCCACACTCCTCCAGGACAGACTCCCATACGACTCTAATGCGCTTGTTCTTCACTTTTCTTCTAAGGACAGAGGCTAAGGTAGGAAGACTCCTCACCAGGTCTGGCAGCTTCTCAAGCACACGAGTGTGCAAA